CAATTTGCCTGGTAATTACTCAGTTGTTTGTTTTTGCTGAAGGACACGTGTTCACTGGAGAGAAACAGAGAGAGAGAGGAAGAAAGTGAGAAGTCACCTCCCCCCACCCCCAGAGAGAATGGCCATGCTGCAATGGCTTCTTCTTCATTCTTCTCTCAGAATTTTGGGCTCATGTTCACGTGGGCCTGGAACAATTTTCAAGTCACCTGATCTGGGACTTGAACTGCAGAGTTGGCCATGTGGGATCGAGCCGTCTTAACCTCCACGCCACCTGCTGGTCTTACCAAGTCGATTTTGTTCATCTGTGCAGTCCTCCTTTATAGTCCATCCTCGGCAACCTCTTGTTCATCTGTGTGAGCCTGTAGTCAGACAGGTGCCAACTCTGGTGTAAGGTGTCAAGAACAAGAGCATCATGGGACCAGCAGTTAGCGTAATGGCTATGTTGCTGGACTCCCACGTAGTTGACTGTGGTTTGAGTCCCAGACCCCGTGGGTTAAACTCACGCCGGTCACGTGTGCATGCGTGCCCAAGATCCTGAGAGGAGAAGGGATTGCGGCGTGGGCATCCCCTCTGGGGGGTGATTTCTCGCTTTCTGTCTCTCTGTCTCTCTCTGTCTGTCTGGCGAGCACACGCACCCTGTAGTGAAAATCTCTCTAAAAAAGAAAAAAAGAGAAAAAAAAAGAAAGAGCATCCTCATTTTGTCACTAAACTCCCCAAACGGGAGGCTAAATCTTCTTGAATGTAGAACTCCAAGTAGTTCTCAGAAATGACTACCCCCCCCTAGTTGATAACAAAATCTCGTGATAGTACATTTCCCTTGTAAGACAGTGTGGGACACATTTACATCTTCTGATTTGAGAAGAAATAATTGAAGGGAAAATCTTTATCTCACTGTTGCAGGATTATCTACTTTTCACCCAGTATTAAACTGAACTATTCGCCTCTGGAAAGAAAGAAAAAAATCCACACAAGAATTCTCAGAATTAGCTTTTGGAAAGACTAGTGGCTCCGTGGCAGTGCAGCCTACCCAGGGAATTATTAAATCCTCACCAAGTGCCATCCTTGGCCAGTTTCAGGTGTGTTGGCCTAGGCTGGATCTGGACTGATTTGCTGGAAAATGGAGTTTTTATCCAAGATACCTGACACTAGCGTGCAGTTCTGATGCGTACCCGTCTCTCCCTTCAGGGGCTTCGTCGTATCTAAGAATTAGCCTTTCTTTTTTCTAATGTTTTTTTTTTTGAGAGATTTTCACTATAGGGCACATGCGCTCACCAGACAGAGAGAGACAGAGAGACAGAAGGCGAGAAATCACCCTCCAGGGGGGATGGCCATGCCACAATCCCTTCTCCTCCATTCTCCTCTTGGGATCTTGGGCACGCACGCACACGCGCCCTGCGTGAGTTTTAAGCCACCAGTTCCGGGACGCGAACCGCGGTCGACTACGTGGGAGTCCAGCGACACAGCCATTACGCTAACTGCTGATCCCCAGAATTAGCCTTCTGTCCGTAGCCACACCAGGTACCCGAATCTCATGGTTAGTAAAGACATTAGCACCTTTATTTCCGTGCATATTTTACTATGGGCACAATAATTCATTCTCAGAAGCAGTGAATTAGCCGAATGAGCAGCATCTTGAGAAGGCCATGTGGAGCTGCCCTTCTCCTAAATTAATTTCTTGGATGTCGTAAGCATGCCAGGAGCCTTCCTGTCTGGTGATTGCTGGTTACGAGTGTGAAAGTGCAGGGAGAAAGCCTCTGTAGAAAAGGCCGTCGAGTCAGGTGGAGGGAAGGCGTGTGGTGTCAGAGCTAGCTGAGCGTGTTTCTCCTGAAGGGAGCGTCTACCCCACAGGGAATTTCTCCAGGTCCGATCCGGCCCCGGATTCTTTTCTCTGCTGGTTCTGCCTGATGGGTCCTGTGCTCTTTGGGGCTCAGTGACTCTCCAGGAACTCAGGCCTCAGCACAGTCCTTAGGGCTGAAGGGTGCAAAGCACACTCGGGAAGGGCAAGTCCCCTGGGGTGAGTCCGAAGGCAGCAGGAGCCCTGCAGGACAGTGGCCCGGCTCTGAGTCGTGAGAGCGCACGTCAGATGCTGACGCAGGACACTGCCCGAGCTTGGGAGTGTGGGTGTCTGTGGCACCAGCCACGTAGCACACACGGACTTATAGACTCCCACGGAGAAGGCAGGTGTCCTGATTGTCTCACTTGCACACGGACCTTCACGGTGTTTGGGCCTGGATGTGGCTGCTCGGCGGGGGACCGTGGCCGGACCCTTTTCTTTCTGGTTTCTCACCTTCCTTTCGGTCAGTCTTTTCTATCTTGGGGCTTTCCTTTAGTCTCTTACTTTGTGAGGGTGGTCAGGTTTAATGGCCTCTGCATCTGTGAACGCCCTGTGTGGGGCCGTGCTGAGGGGAGAGTACACCATGGTCGTCTGAGCAGGGGCCAGCTGGGGGGCCTGGTCAGGGCTATACTGTGACAGAGGCTCTGTCTCTCTGGCTGGCTGTTCACAGAGTGACAAAATCCTTTGCATTACTCTTCAAATGTGGGCAGCTGATTTCGTTTTCCAAAATAATAATAATAATAATAATAATCTGTGGGACCAGCAGTGGCATGGTGATTAAGGTTCTGGATCCCACATGGCTGACTGCACATTTTGAATCCTGGGCCTGACTTGAAAAATCATGCGAGGTTCACGTGCATACAGCCCCCGAATTCCGAGATGATGCTAGAGGAGAAGGGACTGCGGTGTGGCCACCTCCCCTGGGGCTGATTTCTCACTGCCACTCTCTGTCTTTGGTGACCCCATGAGCTCTGTGGCAAAAATCTAAGAACAAAATCGATTAAAAAATTGTGTCCACGTATTAAATTATACACTTTATTTGCAGTGTTTCTTGTGTGGCTTTCAATACCCTTAAAGTGTTGGAAAAACAGTCTTGATTTCAATGGAAAATTTTTTTTTCTGAGTTTTTCTCTATTTCTGATCTCTTTCTCAGCAAGAATTAGGTTTCCAAACGTGTTCAAAGATGTGTTCCTTCTGGGCCAGCTGGAGGTGTGGTGTTAAGGTAACTGGATCCCACCTGACCCACTGTGTGGTTTGAGTCTCAGACACAGTAGCTTGAGAAACACCCCGGGCACATGTGTGTGCATGCCCAAATCCTGATATGAGGGAGAGAAGGAGAAGGGATCGCAGCGTGGCCGTTTCCCGTGGGAGGTGCATTCTCATGCTCTCTGTGGTGAGCACATGCACCCTCTGTTAATTTTTTAAAATGTGTCCCTTCCCTGTCACTTACAAAGACTGGGAAAGGACCAGTATCGGGGACCTGTGCTACTGATGTTCTGCAGAGTCCGAGAAAGCCATATTCCCTGGGTTAGTATCTTTTTAAAAAAAATTATTTATTTATTTATTTTTGGAGAGGTTTTTTCGCTATAGGGTGCGTGCGCTCGCCAGACAGACAGAGAGACAAAAAGCGAGAAATCACCCCCCAGGAGGGATGGCCACGCTGCAATCCCTTCTCCTCCATTCTCCTCTCGGGATCTTGGGCACTCATGCACACGCGCCCGGCGTGAGTTTTAAGCCACTGGATCCAGGACGTGAACGGCGGTCGACTACGTGGGAGTCCAGCGACATAGCCATTACGCTAACTGCTGGTTCCCTGGGTTAGTATCTTAAGTAAGAGGTAAAACAAGTGGTAAGAATCTATAACTTAACACTGTGTTTTAAAATACTTTACTTCAACAATATTTCAATAGTGCTTTAAAAATAATTTAAAATTTAAATTGTCAGAGGCTGTGTGCATATACGGAGGGGTGGTGAGTGAGAGGAGGGGGAGCCCCTCCCACTACCTCTCTGTCCTATTAGGATTGTGGACACGCGTGCACTCATGCCTGGCAGGGATTTCAGGCTGCGGGGTCCAGAATTTGAAGTGCACCATCAGCCACGTGAGATCTGGCTGCCCTAACCACCAGGCCACACAGGCTGGCCCAATAATGCTTTAAAAAATTTTTCTTTTTTTCTTTCAGAGGGCATATGTGCATGCATGAGGATAGAGGAAAAAAGGGAGAGAGAGAGAGAAAATGCATGCCCCGGTGGGACGTGGTCACACCGAAATTCTCTCCTTCCATTCTCCATCCTGTCAGGATTCTGGGTGCATATGCACACCTGGTGTGTTTTTCAAGCTGCTGGACCAGGACGCAGACCCTGGTCAGCTATGTGGGATCTGGCTTCCTCTGCTCATTGCCTAACCACGCTGCAGTAGGGTCATCCCAATCATGCTTATTTTAATAATTCCAATTTCTTAAACCACATGGATGATGAACCAGCAGATGGCATAGCAGTTACATCACTGGACTCCCACGTAGCAGACCACAGTTTGAGTCCTGGACCCGGTGGCCTAAACTTCATGCTGGGCATGTGTGCTTGTGTGGCCAAAATCCCAAGAGGAGAATGGAGGAGAAGGGATTATGGCATGGCCATCCTCCCTGGAAGGTGATTTCTTGCTTTCTATCTCTGTCTCTCCAGCAAGTGCATGCACCTCATAGCAAAATTCTCTTCTCTAAACAAATGAAACAAAATGAACAACAACAACAAAAAAAAACCCACACAGATGACAAAAGCAAGTCCATTGAAGCAGCGTTTTGGACCTATGTCCTGTGTCATGTCAGCCGCTGTTTCAGGGTCACTCCAGGGCCAGGCGCTGTGGGTTCCGGCATCCTGTTGCTGGTGTGGAGATGGGGGTGTGGGGGTGGAGAGGTCGAGCAGCTGTCTAAGAGCCACCCTTTAAGGGTGGTATGTTTACAGCTGGGTTACTGGTGCCCATGAAGTTCAAACTGCCCTGGAGATAAGAAAAGCTCAGGCGATGGTCACTAGGCCACTAACCGGGGGAAGCCCTTCACTTTGCTGTGCGAACATGGAACATCAGTAGAGTTCCCTAAAAGGCGGCCCTGTGGTGTGTTAACGAGTGGGAGGTGTTACTCTGCAGACAGAGATCCCTCTCCCTTTCTCCCAGGGCTTCCCAGGAAACACAAATGCAGACAGCGTGGTGCACCACGGACTCCAGCCTCCCTTCGAAGCCCGGTTCCTGCGCTTCCTGCCTGTCACCTGGAACCCCAAGGGCAGGATCGGGATGCGGATCGAAGTGTACGGATGTGCATACAGTAAGTGTCGCTTAGGCCTCACCGCGATCGGCATCGGGCCACATGTGAAAGCGAGATGTTTTGAAAGTGGATGTGAACTTTTTGGACTTTTAAATATTAATAGCTGTTCACATACACCTGGATTTTACAGGGAGCCTTGATAATGTTGCTTCAATTATTTTGTAGTCGACTGCAGAGGGGCGCCTGAGCTGAGCCTTTTCTCACCCTTGGAGTCCTAGCGTGAGCACCAGACCTGCTTTGGAGCAGGCACTTAATAAACACCAGCGACTCACTGACTGACGGTGCTGCTTGCTGAGGCCGAGATGGCCACAGTGTGGGTGCTGGGGGACTGCCGGGCCCTGACGCCCCGTGCTCCTGCTGGGGAGAGCCTGGTGGGGGAGCTGGCACGCATAGGGTGTGGGAGCAGGGCTTCAGGACTGTGCAGTGAGCTGCCAAAGGACAGTGTCATCCGCTCTGGGGTAACCGTCCCTGCCAGGACCACTGCCCCTGTGGTTTCGTCCCCTTCCCAGTGACACCCAGACACGCCCCACTTCCTCAGTTTCCTCGCCCTGCCACGCTGTCCGCGGAGCACAGATGCCGTGGCACGACCGTCAAGCACGGTCCTTTATTTCCCTGTCACCCCCTCCTGTCTGCGTGCCTCTCGTATTATCAGGGTGTTTCCTGCAGTGGTGGCGTGGACCCTGGCATCTAGGGTTTCTCTGTGATCCCATGAAGTCAGCTTCTCCTCCTCCCAGTACTTTGGAAACAACTTCAGGTTTCCTGGCTTCAAAGGAGAACGTGCTCTGTGATGGGGATTTGCCATTAGCTGGGTGTTCTCTCATTCGGGGCTATTACCTCTGCTCCGTGGGGTACAGATTGGTACCAGAAAGATCAGAGCTGCGGGGCTGCCCCCTGGAGAGACCAGCTGACGTGCAGCTGCCCTGGTACCCTGTGCACCCCTAAATCCAGCAAACGAGCTGCTGAGCCCAAGGAGCTCCTAATGTAAACGTGGACAGGAAATAATCACTGCTGCTTGTGAGACAGCCACAGTCCATCTTTTAGTTATTTTTATTACTAATAAGAATAATTCAAGCACAGCGCTTTGCATTGCATTTTTGACATTAATTTAATATGATACAGTTTATAACCAAAAGTAATAGCTATTTTCTTTTTCATTTGTATTTCCATTGCTTTGTTGGTATGGAGAATAATGTTCAAATTGCTTATTTTGGCATGTAATGTCTCTTAGGTGCAACTTCTCTTTTCAGTTTTATTTATTTTTTATTATTATCATTTTAAAAATTTTGCTATACTGCATATGTAACCACAGAGGGGGGGGAGTTAGAAATCACCCCCGGGGGGACGGCCACACTGCAATCCCCTCCCCTCCATTCTCCTCTCAGAATTTTGGGTACACATGCACATGTGCTCTGCATGTCCTTCAAACCCCCCTGATTGCACAGCCAAAAGGGGTCCAACTGCCCTAAATACCACCTGCCAGCCGCCCCCAGTCCCATTTCTGTACTCTTCCCGTGCTCGCCATCCCGCTGAGCACCCCGCCCACTCATGGTGTCCTGGCTTGGCCTCCACTTCAGAGGCCCTGCGGCCAGTTCTACCCTAAGGGTGGGTGGTTCTGCAACCCCTGGTGTCCTGCGTACCTCAAAGTGTGCGTTCTAGCTCCCTCCCCACTTCTCAGGCCCCAGCTGTCCAGTCCTGGCTGTCTTGGCTCCCTCCCCACCTCTCCGGCCCCAGACCTCGCG